CATTCAGTAACATATTGTTCATTTTCCCGGTAATTCAGGATTTTTCCTTCCTTCTTTTATCATTGATTTCCAGTTTCATTCCATTATGATCAGATAAGATGCATGGTATTATCTCCACACCTTTATATTTACTAAGGGTTGCCCTATGGCATAATATATGGTCTATTTTTGAGAAGGATTCAAGCGCTGCTGAGAAGAACGTGTATCCACTTGATGATGGTTGATATGTTCTATATATGTCGGTTAAGTCTAGGTTATTGATTGTGTTATTGAGTTCTATAGTTTCTTTATTCAACTTTTGTTTGGAGGATCTGTCCAATGGTGAGAGCAGAGTGTTGAAGTCACCCATAATTTTTGTGTTGTGGTCTATTTGATTCTTGAACTTGAGGAGAATTTGTTTTATGAACGTTGCTGCACCATTATTTGGTGCATACATATTGATAATTGTTATGTCTTGTTGGTGAATGGTTCCTTTTAACAGGATATAGTGTCCTTCTTAATCCCTTTTGATTAACTTAGGTTTGAAGTTGATTTTATTCCATATAAGTATGGCCACTCCTGCTTGCTTCCAAGGACCATGTGAGTGGTATGATTTTTCCCAACCTTTCACCTTCAGCCTGTGTATGTCTTTTCCTATCATATGAGTCTCCTGAAGGCAGCATATTGTTGGATCTGTTTTTTTAATCCAAGTTACTAGCCTATGTCTCTTGATTGGTGAGTTTAAGCCATTAACATTTAGGTTTACTATTGATATATGGTTTGTACTTCCAGTCATGTTTATTTATTTATTTATTTTAATTTGGCTTGTTTTTCCTCTTTGGTTATTTTTCCCCCCTTTACTGAGTTGCCTCCCACTGTTGATTTTGGGTGCTGTTTTTCAATTCCTCTTCTTGTAGTGTTTTGCTCAAAATGCTTTGCAGTGCTGGTTTTCTGGCTGCAAATTCTTTTAACTTTTGTTTATCATAAAATATTTTAATTTCATTGTCAAACCTGAAGCTTAATTTTGCTGGATACAATATTCTTGGTTGGAATCCATTATTTTTCAGCATTTGAAATATGTTGTTCCAGGATCTTCTTGCTTTCAATGTCTGTGATGAAAAATCAGCCGTTAACCTAATTGGTTTACCCCTGAATGTAATCTGCCTCCTTTCTCTTGTAGCTTTTAATATTCTTTCTTTGTTCTGTATGTTGGATGTCTTCATAATAATGTTTCTTGGAGTTGTTCTATTACGGTTTTGTATGTTTGGGGTCCTGTAGACTTCCAGGATTTGGCAATCCATTCCATCTTTCATGTCTGGAAATTTTTCTAAAATTATTTCATTCAACAGTTTGCTCATTCCTTTGGTTTGGACCTCTATACCTTCCTCTATCCCATTGACTTAAGTTTTTTTTTTTTTTATGACATCCTATATCTCTTGGATGTTTTGCTCATGGTTTCTTACCAGCCTTTCTGCGTTGACTATCCTCTTTTCCAGTTGATAAACTTTGTCTTCATTATCTGATGTTCTGACTTCTATTTGATCTAGTCTATTTGTAATATTTTCATTTGAGTTTTTGATTTGGTTTTTGGTTTCCTGCATTTCTAGGATTGATTTTTTTAAAAAAATCTCTGTCTCTTGGTAGAGTTCATTTTTTGCTTCTTGTATCTGCTTATGTAATTCATTTTCAAAGTATTCTTTCATTGTTTGCACTTGCTCTCTAATGACTTCTTTAAGATTCCATTCCATCTGAGTCAGGTATGCCTTGAGTTCTTTCTCTGTCCATTTTTCTGATGCCTCTAGGTTCTCCTGTAAATTTAAGTTGTCCTGCATTATTTGTAATCCTGAAATAGACAGTTACCTAGACAGTTCATAAATGTGTGTGAATGTGTGTGTGTGTATGTATGTGTATGTGTGTGTGTGTGTGTGTGTATTTACCTTTCATACACTCTATCTGCTCAAAGCATTCACTACGAACTGCTAGGATATTTTACTCATTATCACAATATTTTTCATAATATTGCTTCTGACCATAGAAGAAATTTTAGATCAAACAAACTGTGGTGATGAGCTCCTACTTAGGGGTTTCATGTTACTTTTCTCTGTGAAGAAACTGTCCTAATATAAATGGCTATATTTTAATTAAGCTTTCTACTGGGATTTTAGAATAGCAGAAAGGTTATATTTACATTTTTTATTTACAGAAAGATTTTAAAAGTAGTACTTTAAAGAGAGTTACATTATACCCCTCACTCAGGGTCAGTTAATATAACATTCAGTTAATGTTATCCTGATAATATGGTTCAGTTATCAATATGGCAGACAGTTTATATGTCATCATGTAAATTCCATAGTTTATTTGAACTTGTTTTTCAGTTTTATATTCATGCCCCACTTTATTTTCCAGTATGCAATATAGGACATCAAACTGAAATAAACTGCCATGTCTCCTTAGTCTTCTCTGGTCTGTAACGTTTTCTCAGTTTTTCTTAAGTCTGATTATTTGACACTTATTGGAACACTGATCAATTATTTGTAGAATTTCTCTCAATTTGGATTCATTTGATGTTTTTGTCATGGTTCTTGTTATGGTTAGACTGGGGTCATTTGATTTTGTAAAGAATGTCACAGATATGAACTACCCTTGTCATTATATTATATTAGGAAACATGTGATACCCACAGGACATCACTAGTGATACTGACTTGATCATTTGTTTAAAATAATATTTGTCAGGTATCTCCACTGGGAAGTTACTATTTTCCCCTTCCATGTTCAAGTTCATGTCTAGGTCACCAAAAAGCATGTAGGAAGTTAAGATTCACTTCCAAAGGGGGAGACTATCTACTCATATTTGGAATACTTCCATAAGGGAGAATTGTTTCTTCTACTTATCTATCTATCTATCTATCTATCTATCTATCTAACCATGTATTTGTAGGAGCATGAAAATGTGTATATTTACTTTATACTTTGGGTTATAATCTAGTCTTACATTTTTGTAGTGTTGTTCAAATTGTTACAATTCCAGACGTTGGGAGGCCTTTTACATTGGCATCGGGGTCCCTTTGACATGCCTTTGTCCTATAGAATTTTGAACCCTTCCTTTTTTTATTATGCTGAAGATGCTCCAAGCTCATATGATATTTTTGCTGACCCAGATCTTGAATGAGCCATGAAACGGCCTTTCAAAAACTGATTTTTCCTTCAGATTCTGGATTAATAATTATCATGAAAAACATATAAAGGGAATGTTCTTTTGGGAAGTGTTATTTTGTTTTTAGTTATACAGCAGCTATTGTATCATGAATTTGGAAAGTGGGATTCACTGTTGTCTTTATTTGGAAATTATGTATCTTTTTAAAAGGAGAATTTAAATGCCATGGGAAATAGTGTGGACTTAGATGGATTTGAAAGTGTCATTGTACACTGAATCTGCATTTTCCAGTCCTCGCCTTTGCTTCCCATTTCTAGGATAATACTTGTTACAGAAACCATTCAAAATGTAGAGATAAACCGTGAGCTTTTTTATTTATTTATTTTTAATTATTATTCTTGTAAGATTGGTGCAGTGTATGTGGGCTATTGCCGACCTCCTGGCTCACTTGGATGCTGTGAGGTAGCAGCTCGCTGCAGAATCTTCCAGTTCCCACTGTATGTGCTCCTTCAGTTTTTCTACATCCTAGGCTATTGCATGTTGTGTGGGACACTGTAGCCAGGCTCTGAACTTCTCAATGTCCTGCTGTCTCTCTTTCTTCACCATCTTTGGATGCTGGCTCAAGTGTGCATTTTTCTATGTATTGAGAGCATCTCCTTAAGGTCATCTGCAGCATAGGGACAGAAACCTGGAGGAATGAGAGACCTCCCCATGAGACCCTTTCTGATGCCAGTCTCAGCCCCAGCACACAAGAAAGAAACAATGATTCTGTATTTATTTATTTATTTTTAAAATAACTAGCTCACACATTTTTATAAACTTCAGTCTCCCTAGTTAATCCTCTATTTTTTTAATGGTCTAAATATTTGTTTTTATAAGATAAACTGATGGATTACAATATTGATGAACTGAATTGTATTGATAACGAAAATACAAATTCTTTGGAACCATGCTTTCTCTCTCTTTATGGCTCTCATTTTGAGATTAAAGAGTTAGAAGTAATGACAATTTTGACAGCTGCTAAGAATTTATGTATAGAATGTTCTAAAGAAAGGAAGTAATTTACATTTTTCTGAGAATATTTGAATGATTATATATGTATAAAATCACTAATATATATATGGAGAGAGAGAGAGAGAATTTTCCCCCCAGTGGTTCTTTTTCTTTTTCTTTTTTTGTATTCTTTTTTCTTTTTTTTTTAAATTTATTTCTTACATACATGACAATAGTAAAGTGCATTACAGTCATAATTTTCCGTTCACAGCACAATTTTTTGTAACTGTATATAAAGTATGTTCCCACCAAATTATGCCATTATACATGAGCTCTCTTATGTTTTTCCATACAATTCTTAATACACTTTTATACCACCATTTATCATATCTCTGTTTGTATATAAGGTATGTTGACACCAAATTCACATCTTCATACATGATTAGCCCTATATTTTATCTCATATCTCATGATTCTCATTCCCTGATCAAATCTGCACTCACAAGCTATAAATATGTAATGTGGGGTCATGTTGTCATCCATGTATTTCCAGCAGTAATAGGAGCCTTGACCCACCTCTGATCCATTGCTTCATGCTAGCCCTGAGCCGGAATAAAGAATAGAAGAAAAAGGAATTAAATCTATTCCAACTACAAAGCTCAAACCTTAACTACTGTGTTAGATTTAACAAATATTATTTTAGCAAAAGAGGTAACTGTCTACTAAATAAATTAAGAAAAAAATTAATTTATCTATTCAGTGACTCTACTCAATATTATTAACAGAAGAAAAAGTATTGGAAATATCAATCTATAACCTTGATATAAAACAGATACAGACTTCCGGGGCTGCCCGGGCGGGGCCCGAGCCGGGGCCGCCGGCCTCAGCTGTCTTGGCTCAACCGCGCGCCACGTCCCATCGCCGGCCGCGGGCGCTTCCCAGCCGTAGGAGGGCCACCGGGCCGCTGCGGGCCTGCCGCGCCCGGATGCATCGGTCACCACAGGGGAGCATTCACCTTGGTGCCACACGTGCCACAAAGCATGCCACGGCCTGGGGGTGCCTTGCCAAGCTGCTCTCACCTACGCAGCCAGACCTCACCTGTCGAGCACTGCAGTGCCAAGCCCACAGCTCCCCGAGGAGGAAGATGGCCCAGCCTGCAAGCACTCCCTGAGCAGCTGCCTCTGATCCTTCAGCCAAGCAGAAAGCTACCGCTGACAGCCTGAGAGCCTCAGGGACGGCCCTGCCCTGCTCAGACTCCCCCAAGATGTGGACAGCCCTCATGCTGGTTTGGCTTTCCTCCTTGTCCTTATTTGGAAGCCAAGTGGCATCTCAGGAGCCAGGGTCCCTAATCCCTAACAAGACAGAAAATGTGTTAGTGAAGAAAAATGCTTCCCTGGACGCTGATGACAAAACCACCACAGTGACACACGCTCCTGTCATGTTGACCCAAGGGACTGTGGCAGCCAAGCTTACCTTTGCTCCAGCCTCAGCAGAGACGACACAGAAGACAAATGTGAGCACTCCAGCGGCTGCCCCCCCATCGCCTATCCCCACATCTGTACAAAGGACCCCATCCACAGCAGCTGCCGGACCGCCGTCTCCCAGCTCGCCCCTCGCAGGAGGACCCCCGTCTCCCGGCTCGCCCCTCACAGGAGGACCCCCATCTCCTGGCTCGCCCCTCTCAGGAGGACCCACGTCTCCCAGCTCGCCCCTCACAGGAGGACCACGTGGCAGTGCACTGCCCGGAGCAGCAGCAGTGGCAACAGAGGCCACGCGGGCCCTGGCTGCTATTGCGACCAGTACCAGCCGTCCCAGCAGCACGCTCCGTCCTGCAGAGCACACGCCCCGCAGCTCCACGGCAAGCCCCGCACCCCCGGCCCGTCCCCAAGCACAAGATCCCACCGTCCGGGTGTTGCCAAGCCAGCCAGTGCTCAACACAACAGGGTGGTCCACACGCCCCCCAGACACCACCCCAGAGCCCACCACCACCCACTCCGAGACTCCAGTGTCCTCGACAGTGGAGACTGTGGTTTCCTTGACGGCAGTGACTGCCACCCAGGTACGAGCCGAGAAGCCAGCTGCCAGCACAGTGCCAGTGCCTCACACCAGCCCAACCCCTGAGGTGGAGGCCACATCCCCCACCACTCAGCCAAGCCGGTCATCACCCACCCAGGGGGCCAGTGGCCCAGGCACACTACAAACACCGGAGCAGGTGAAAACCAAGACCACACCTGGTGCTGCCTCCACGGGGCCCACACCCACGGACATGTGCCCACTCAGCACCCAAGGCCAGTACCTGGTGGTCACCACCGAGCCCCTGACCCCGTCCTTGGTGAACAAGACGTTCCTCCTGGCGGTGCTGGTGCTCGGGGTGACCCTGTTCATCACAGTGCTGGTGTTGTTTGCCCTCCAAGCCTACGAGAGCTACAAGAAGAAGGACTACACGCAGGTGGACTACCTGATCAACGGCATGTACGCAGACTCCGAGATGTGACCGCGGAGCGGGCGGCCCCTCCTCCGCCCTCCATTCTGCCTCTAAACCAAACCAAGTGCTTCCAGATCTCTCGGTGCAATTCAGAGATAAGCCAGATGCTTAGGCACATTTAATCCATGTCAGATTAACTCCTCCATCACGAAAGAGTTGCTGCTTTTCATATTTATTTTTGTAAATGATCATGTGCTTGGGAGCAGCCAGGATCCTGCTGTGGGTGGGGCGGCAGGCAGGTGGGCAGGCCCTGGCCCGCCCGGCCCCAGTGTGTCAGATCCTGACCAGAATTAAAGCGATGTCTGCTCTCTAAAAAAAAAAAAAAAAAAAAAAAAAAAAAAAAAACAGATACAACTTATATTTTTAGTAATGATTATATTGTATAAAGCAAGACATAAAGATGTATAGAAAGAAAGAAGTAATTTTGGACAACAGTAAAACTTATATAGTCAATCCACACATAGCTAATTGATGTACAAAATCATATGAAATATAAGCTCCTTGTGAGTTTATAAGATGTCATATGAGTTTATATGATATGAGCATGATGTCATTTATCAAAAGCATTTATTGCCTTCATTATGATTTAAACTACAGTGTTTCTGAGATGACAAGTGTGTATGTGTGTGTACATGTGTGTGAAAATTCTCTGCTGAACAAAGGATAAGAGAAAGTGGATCAGCATGGTGGAAATTATGCAAAAGAAGTAAATCTTAATGTTTCCCATACTGTGTGCATGCTCTACAAGACAGGGAACAGCTGACATTCTCCTGCCAAATGTGCATTGCCACAATCCCTTTAATTTTTTTTTTTAACCTTTCCAATAGATTTTGGAGATATTTGTTCCAAAGACCACAAACTACTTTTTTCTTGCTTGGAATATTAGGATCAAAATTTTAAAGCATAATTACTCTATATTTCTGGGTCGTATATTTTGATCAAGATCAACTCTTACGGATATTTAAAAAATCACACTTAACATTTAAAAAAATTACTTCTTCAGAGCCTAACACCATATTATAATATTAAAATTAATAGTTTGTCAGCAAACAATAACATTTATAAGGGTTTTTAATCTTTGATGCTGATTAAACTATGCGGGTGAAATCAATGCCTCACTTTTTTTTCTAACATTGACAAATATTACACATAATATTAATTTTTTTCTCCATTTACCTGTGTTATGAGTGAAATGCAAACACCTGAGAAAGTTTATATACTCAAGGAATTAACATATGTAGTCATAAAACTCTTCTACTCTCTCTCTCCTCTTCTCTAACCTTTGGAGGCTCTTGCATAATCAGTTACACAGAGTCCAATAGCCCTTTAATCCTTGGGTTTACATCATGATGGCCTCTTGAAAAGAATGGATTAGAAAACACTGTACCAGTAGATGGCACCCACATCTCTTTGGGACCTCCTTCTCCAAACATTCGAATGGGAGGTGGCCTTCTATAGGCATTTAGGTTGCATGTAGGGTGTTGAAAAATAATAAAATTCAGCTGAAAGTATCAGTAAGAAAGCTCATAGAATATGACAAAATTTCACTGTGAATATAAGTATTTGAAATAAGAAATACAATGAATGGTAAAGCTCAAACATATAGCATTCTCATACAGTTTGTTCAGAATGATGAAAGCCCAACTGACAGTATTGTCATTTACAAAGCAGAGATAGGAATGATTGCTTCCTATCAACTGCACACAAGCATGTGGATCAATTAGAGATTGATTTCATTTGTGGGAAAAATCCTGTAAAGTGGCGAGCTCCTTTGAGATGTTCTGAATGACCTTTATGTCACTTTTAACTTTCTGATTCTATTGTTTTGATCTTTTAAAAGTCAGATACATTTTATGAACACCATGGTTAGAAGAATGACCTTGTGCTGAAGTAAATTTTTAGATCAACTGAGGAAGACATACAGATTGTTTCTAAAAATTGTTAATTGTATTGGGATAATGTAATTATCCTCTAAGTTAATAAGCCTGGTAGGAGAAAATGTCTAAAATACTTATTAAGTTTTATAAAAATGATTTAAAGAAATAAAAAATGATGTCCCAGGAATATTTTGTTTGTTGTTTATATCAAAATCTTTCAGCCTCCTGAATATGACAACTGTAATGTATAATATTTGGTAAAACTGTATAAGTGGGAAAAGGGTATTCTGCATTTAAGTAGTTTTCACAGCTTTTACTTAACATGACTTTTAACAGGCAGTTAGGAAAGAAAGGCATATTAAAATGGAATGTTCCTGAGTATATGAAAAATGTGAATTCTAGAATCTCTCCAAAAAAGGAAACCAAAACAAGAAATGTAAAACTCTCTTCAAAATGTTGCACTTAGTTCAATAGTGATATATTTATTGATACAGCAATTCATTTATTGCTTTTGGGGACATTTTATGATTCAAGTAAATATTAGAGGAAGGTATTCATACTAATGACACACTTTAAAAAGACACAAAATTATATATATATATATATATATATATATATATATATATATATATATATATTTACTCATGCAAAATATGATCAGTTTATGAATGAGCTAGATTAATCTAATTTTAGTTTGAAAAAAATTAGTGTGACATTTAGAGAAATCTTTCCACATTTGTTTCATATTAACTTCCAATATTCACAAATTAGTCTATTTCTGAAATTCAAATTTGACACAAGTAAGTACATTTCATTTCACCTTATTATAATCTTATTATAATACCTTGTTATAATACCTTATTATAATACCTTATTATAATGTATAATACCTTATTATAATTTTGTTTATAACAAAACCAAATATTATTGAAAAACAGATTTTTTTTCTTCAACTCATAAGGCTTCATACTTTTAGTGGAGTTTAAAGATTGCAAGATTTTTGGTATTTGTTTTCTACTTATTGCCAAAATATTTTGAGGTAAATGTAAACATAAGACCAAAATAGTAATATAACTTACAAGGTAATTTAATAAAGAAGAATTTTAAAAATCAGCCTTGAGATTCATCTATTATTTCATATATAAAAGGATAACTCCTTCATAAGAATTTTGATGCCAGTGATGACAAGAATCAATCAGGGCTGAGTTCCGTTTCCACAGATGTGAAGATTGAACAACCAAGAAATGCTGAGAGAAGTGTAGAAAGCATTTTATTTAAAAGATAGAACAGAGATAGACTTCTCCCAGGAGGAAGAAGGGGACTCAGGCTTAATATCCAAAGAAGTGGTAGTGTCCTGCCCCTTGTATACATTTTTAGTATTTCTTTCTTCTCATGGTCTTTCCTCTCTGTGTCCTGCATGTGATTAGTGGCCCAAAGGAAGGCCAAAGTTAGAGTGATTAAAATGTTCAAAAATTTTGTGAACAATTATTAGTGGAAGACTTTCTTTTATGAGGTGCATAGAAAGACAATACAAAATATATACCTGATACAAATATTTAACAACAAAACCCCAAAGCACCTTCACTAGCACTTAGTTCCTATATATATATTGTTTATGAAAAATACATCAGAATATGAAAAAGGAAAACGAGAACATGGGTCTTACTATTAGACACATCTGAGTTGTCCTACTATTGCTCATTACTAACTGACAATGATCAAATTACCTAATTTACCTATTCTTCTGCTTTTTTTTGTTCGTTATTTGCTGTATTTAAACTACAAAATAGGAACAACTGAACTTAACTTAGTATTCTATATTTTCAATAAAATTTTATCCCAACATCATATTTTATGATTAACATTATTCTTGATGAATATAGCATATCTTATGATAAATATTATTATTTATAAATTAATATATTATAAGTTATATTAATATGTGATATAAGCCTAAAATAATATGGTGATAATATTATTAATGTGTAAGTTTATATACTATATATGACAGTATATAACATGGCATACTATTTGGACATTTCTATGTTATTGCTCATATCTTGTATTAATTATATGCAGCCTTACTGATTTAAGCACATTTTTCAAATATAAAATCATTTCTTCTGCATCATTGATGTTAATATATTATTTCACAAACTTAATATATTACTTAGGTAATATTTTATGTAAATATTACATATGAATAAGTTTTCTTTGGAAATATCTATTAATTATATTTAAGAGATGAATAAAATTATATTTATATTTTATAATTACTCCATGCATCTATAACAAATTATCACTTTGTGCTATAATTATATAGATTTATTCAAAATTAAATTCCCTTAATTTAATCCAATAAAGACTTGGAAATAAATTGCCAGATGGAAACAATGAGATTTTATTGTAGCAGCATCATATAACTTTTTATATTCTAAGATTTTTGCCCCAAACATGTTAATCAGTGAGTATTTGATGCTATCTGCACAACTGATGAGGTAATGGAGGAGTAAGAAAAACACACCCATGCAGATATTAAGATAAAAGCCTGGGATAAGGTGGAGCACTGCTCTCCGATGGAGAAGCAGTGACCAACAATTGGCCCAACATGTTTACTATGTAGGGTCTCATAATCAAGAAGTAAAGGACTAGAGAGGCATAGTTCTTTGTGCACTAGAAAGTTATAGGGCTAGAAACCTTCTTGTAGCTACTTCACCGTAGTAATGCTTGGTGGAGCTTCTTGCAGCACTCAGGAAACCCATTGTCTAAAGTTTCTGTTAAGCAGGCAGGTAACAGCACTGGTGAAATACTATAAGTTGTCATGTACAGAATTCCTCTCTCCCTAGGTGCTGTGTGACTGAGATCAAGCACAAGACTGATAAGACACTTGCGCAGAACCGGGGCATCGCCATAGCGATTGGGCATCCTATACCCTTGCACAGAACCATTTACAGGCAAAAGGTGCACCACAGCTATGAAGCAATATCAGGGATCCTCAATCTCAGTTAGTGCACTCCACAACTATTGTTTTTATATTTTTAACTGGGATGTGATTTACAGACTGTAAATATTCCCTGAGTTTGGTGTATAATTCTATGAGTCATGAAAACACATTTTCACTTAACCACTACCAGACAATATAGGACAGTTCTATCAGCTTTGATTTCAAATTTTCCTGCACACTTTTATAGGTCAAAGATTTCCCCAGTCACAGCCTCTGTCAACCACTAATCTGTTTTCTTAAAGTTTTGCCCTTTCCTAAAAATCATGTAAATGGATCCTATTTTGTACAACTGTTCTTAGTCTATCTGTAATTTGGTATGATATATTTAGGGTCAGTTATTTTGTATGTGTAAACAGTTTCTTGTTTCTATTGTTTAGTAATTAAACTTCCCACTGTATTTTAACAGTTTATCCATTAACTTTTTGAAGGGCATTTG